GTCCAAGATGCCGCTCGACGGCTCCAGGACGGGTCCAGGAAGATGGCCACCGAGATACCACAGTCTAGCCTCAACTAAGTTCACAAGATGCCCTAAGACGGTTCCAAGTGGCGTTGACGCCTCCCAAGGATGCCCTCCGAGAGGGTACAATCATTCCACACCAAGAAGATGTTGCAATGCTTTTATCTTGTCGCCTTTTCGCTTGTGAGCTTCCGACGCCTCAGTATGGCTCAACGATCGCCCAACTGAGCCCCAAGAGAGACCCATAAATGGCTCCACAATGGCATCAAAGGCAAACAAGAGAGCTCGAACAGTGTTCTAAAATGGCTCCAATGGGTGATTTTTAGGAGTCCAGCGGGGCGACGCTAATTCATACCGCTTCCTTTTTGATCGATGTCCTAGAAGATGGCCCCGAGAGGGCTCCAGTGTCTCTACGAGAAGCGTATGTGAGCCCCAAATGACTTCCAGATGGAGCCGATAGCGCCCAAAGATGGTCCCAATGAGTCGCCAGGAAACAACCAGGTCGACAGGTTTGCGACGGCCTGTATGCTTGACTCCTGGGATTGCCCAGGCTGATCCTGAGCTTCGGTTTGACGGCTGCTTCTCTCTGTGTTCCTCTGCATACTCCTACGCTTTTTCGATCCAGGAAGATTCCCCTGTGGTGGGGATCGTCTCTGGACGGGCAGGTCATCACCATAACTATCGCGTCTTGCCGCTGTCACTACCGCTGCCGTGTGATCGTGTTGGCGCCACCGTCACCCTCACGCGACCCGAAGCTTCGAGCCTTCCGCAAAAACGGTCGATCCCTGCTATGAAATCGTGGCACACGTGCGTGCGTGGCTCGTCCCAGAAACCTTGAGAATCCAAACACACTGCCATCTCTTGAAGGCGCATCTTTTGCTTCCGCCAGCCGTCCACCGGCTTCCGCCAGCGGAGCCGCTCTCGTCTTACTTCCGCCGCCTTCCGCCGAGGGAGAGATGTTAACCTCTCGACCCCTGGAATGCGAGGACCTTTATGGAACGCCTAACATGTCAAAGCAAACATGCCCCCTCCCGGCCGCCTTCACGCACACAAGGCGCGGGAACATGTTCAGCCTCGCGTGCTAAAGCAACATCGGCGCCGAACCAGCCCGGGTGCAGCAGCAGCAGCAGCAGGAGAGAGCGAGAGAGAGGGATGAAGAGAGGCGAGGACACCAGCCAAAATGCGCATCAGAGAGAAGTGAAGTATCCAACGTGTGTGTATGCGTGTGCGTGTGAATGCTCCTGACTACGTACGTGGCCGACGCTGCTCCCGACGTGGCCGACGCTGCTCCCGACGTGCCCCACTCCCCACGCAACGACGACGCCGTACTTGACAACCACCGCGGCCACCCTTCTCGCTCCTCCCGGCAAAGACCCCCTCGACGGCCTTCCCGACAGCCCTCCCGGTGACCTGTTCGACCCGTCCCCGTTGCCGTGCGTCGACGCCGCAACCCAAGCCGTCGACGCTTGTGAGCCCCCGTCTCCGTCCGACACTCCAGCACTAACTCGGGGGCGCACAAACATGGATTAGCGATCCATGGATTTGGCGCGCGGTCGCCAAATCCATGGATCGGGGGAGGTGCCCTCCCCAAAATGCGGCTGGTGCCGCCTCGTTCGGCGGCGGAGATCCGCGATTTCCCATGGAAACGGGACCCGTCGCCAATTCACGCCCCTTGATCCATGTTTGCGGTCGCCTGACTAACGCCGCCTCCGGCTCCGCCCCCGACGTCGTCTCCGACGCCGTACCCTCTCTGGGCCGACGCTCCCGCCCCGACCCAGCACCAGCATCCGCCATCGATGACCGTCCCCGACGCCACGCCGCTCTCCCACAGACGGCCCCGCGACGCCCCCGACGCCGCGCCGCTCCCCGACCGCCCTCCCGACGGACGCCCCGGCGACCTGCCCGGACCCGTCCTCGGCGCCATGCCCGACGCGGGGCCCGACGCCGTGTCCGACGCCGCGCCCTCAGATCCGTGGACGCTCTTGGGCCGACGCTCCCTACCCGACGCATCCGCCGAGTCCGACGGCGCCCCCCGCGCCGCGCCGCTCTCCCGCCCCCGCGGCCCTCCCGACAGACGCCTGGACGTTCTGCCCGCACCCGTGCTCGGCGTTCCTGCCGCTGCGGGGCCGGACGCCGCGCTCGACGGCGCGCCCGAAGCCGCTCCCGAAGCCGTTTGCGCCCCGTCCCCGGGCCGACGCTCCCACCCCGACGCAGCAGCCGACTCCGTTAACGACGACGTCCCAGACGCCGCGCCGCTCCCCCGCCCCGTCGGCCCTCCCGACAGAGGCCCCGACGACTTGCCCGGACCGGTCCTCGACATCACACCGGGCGCGAGACCCGACGCCGCACCCGATGCCATGCCCGATGCCCAGTCCCATAGGCCGCCTTCCCCGCCCCGCGCGGAAGCCTGTGCCGTATCCGGTGCCGCTCCTCCCGACGCCTCTCCCGTCGGCCCTTGCACTGCATGGAGCTGCGGCAT